TATTTCCTTCCTATGGATTGAGAATCAAATAGAAAAATGAAGCCAAAATATTAAAAAAATTGCTAAATTTTTACTGGTAATCATCCTCTTATCTAGATATGTTATCTTTCTCATTGAGAAATAAAATTTAAATATAAATTCATATTATTTTTTAATGAATTAATATTTGTGATTTCAATCAATAGATGTCATGAGATTAATAAATAATATATATTCAAAATATTTGTATAAAAACTAAGAAATCATCAATTTACAAATAATAATAAAAATTTTATTTTCAAATTATAATAAAGATTTACATTATATCTTTTAAATATAAAGAACATATTTGAAAGTAATAAATTATCGATTTGAGAAATATTATCATTATTGTAGATTTATAAAAAGATATATTTTAATTAAAAAATAAATTAATTTTTTTAAAAAAATAAGCTAACTTATGGGTCAAACTATTTAACCTGCAGGTTAGTCCATTTTCAGGCTAGCTCATTTTCAAAAATAAATCATTTTTTAATTTAATTTATTAAAATTAATGAATTAAATGAGCTAGTTCACGGAATCAATTCATTTTCCTCACTCTACATGAAATTGATTCCAAACTGTTAGGAGGGGCCCACCCATCCTATGCGTCATTCTTTCTTCTCGCTTGCGTAACACGTGCTACGTGAAGCAGAGTGTCAGGACCATTGTAACCTGCCGGATAAAATGGAGTTCTTGACATCCTGTTTGCCAGCATCTTGGACCACCAAATATGAAAATACGATTACGCCCTTTCATCTCTTTCCTGTGGCAAGCATAAAGCAACACACTAAAGAACAGATTTATCGTTAAAGCAGTTAAAATATTAATTTAATAATTAATAGTTAAAATTATAGTTAAATAATAATTAAATTGATCATAAACAAAATATCTTATTAAATTAATTAAAATATTAATTTAATAATTTATTTATTCAATTGAGCGAGTTAACTTAAATTTTCATAATATAGTATTTCATCTCATATATTTTATTCATCAGCTTTAAAATCCGGCGAAGTCGGTTCCTTAAGTTGGACACTCTAGTTCCGATTTTGAAGTTGGAAGGCGAGCGAAACTGTGTATAGACCTACACTTGGTTATCGCCTATTAGCTTGATGACTTTTTTCCCCCCAAATTACTTGCCAACTTTCGATTATCTTGGAGAGGATAGTCAACTTACTTTCCTAACATTGTGCCGCAAAATTATACATCTCCATAAGATTTTTAGGTTCTCAATGGTATTAAAAAAACAGAGAGAATTTTAAATAAAAATTAAAAATGTGACTTAATTATTATTGAATTTTAAAAAATTATACATCTCATATATATAAAAACACCTTTTGCATATTATGTATAATCATTAGTCCTTAATTTTCTTACTTCACTTTTTAATTTATTAATATGAGCTACAAATTATTAACAAGTCTTATAATTATATAAGATTTAACATTAATTATTCAATCAAAAGTAACAATATTAGTTATTGAATTGCTAACTCAACTTATTAACTTACTAATATCAATTGTAAATTACTAATATATTTTATAATTTATTAATATTAATTATAAATTATTGATAAATCTTGTAATTTATAATTGATGTTAGTAAATTAACAAGTAAAGTTAGAAAATAAATAACTACTTTTATTATTTGTCTGACAACAGATGTAATTTACAAGTAATATTAGTAAATTAATAAGTAAAGTAAAAAAATTAACAACTAATAATTTTATACAATAATAAATAAAGTCTACTTTAATTTTTCCACAGTTAAAATTATTTTTAATTTTATTCTGCTGAACTGAAATTTCAAAATTTTTTTAACCTATTAATAATCAAATCACATTTATAATCCCTATTTGAAATTCTTCTAACAAAATTCTACGTAAACATATGTCCGTGTTTTGATTTCAATCTTATATGCAAAACTAATAAGAAAAATGTGTTCAAAAAGATCAATAAGTTAATAACAAAATTATTGATTGTTTGGTTTAACTAATAAGAAAATTGTATTCTTTAATTAGTTTGGTATTAAAGTTAAAAGTTTTAATAGTGGGTCAATTTGTAGCATTTAAAGAAAATAATAAACAAACATACAAAGAAAGGACAGTAAGACTTAATAATAAATTAAATTCAGGAGAATCATGAGAGACATAAGAATGGTGGGCCCTGTTTTATGACTGACACAGCCAAAGTAATATTCCTTTTTATTTTCCTACCAAAAAAAAAAATTCCTTTTTATTTGGCCATATATGGAATATCCTCAGAAATATAAAAATAAAATCTCTTGTAAAAATATTGCCGACGCCATGAAGAATGGCTAGGAAGTGTTACAATCAAAAGTGGTCCCAAATAAAGCTTCCCGCAAATTTGGCTGCGTTTCGGAATCGCCGTTGTGTCGGTGCTCTCTTTCGTCCTTTCTAAACCAAAAACACGTTACCTATAGTACATCTCTGCGCTTTACATTTCCCCGTTTGATTTATTTTTTTCCTTTTTTCTTGTTTTTATTAGAGGGACAGTTACTAATAAATTAAAATTATAAACGAAATTGAACTTTTAACCTTCCACTTACATAGTAAAAGCTTAAATGCAATTAGGTTACAAGATCATAATTATAAGACACTAGGCCAAACTTACAAGTTGAGTGGATTAGTAACATTGTGCTATCTTAATATTTACTTGCTTGGGTGTTATTTATAAGAGGGAGAAAGTTAGAAATTTTTTTGATTTATTTTTATAAGACACTTTATTTGTCTTTTTTTTTTTTATCAAAGAAACTGTCACGTGTTACGTTATTCTTTTACCAACAGAATTACAAATTTTAAGTAGCATTATCACTTTTTTTAAAAAAAAAAATTGTCTCTCATAAAGTTAAAGTTTATTTTCATAAGATAAACTCGATTCTTTCACATGTTAAAAATTAATTAAAATAGTATTTTAGTTCTCATCAAGAAAAAATATTTTAGTTTAATTTTTTTAATTTTAAACATAATTATTATTCTTAGTGAACTTTTTAAACTATGTGAATTAATTAATTTTTTTACATTTGAATATGGGGGAGTATGTAATTAAATTTTTATCACAAAATTTTTCTTTTACACCTTATTAAATTTTGGTGAAAGAAAATATTTTATTAAAGTATATATAATATTTAATAGACATAATTAAAAATTTATTAAAATTTTTAAAGTATTTAATACATTTTAAAATTTTCATTACTTTTTTAAAAATATTAAACGTAATTTATAAATGAGAGGGAGAAAGGATTGTGACTAGCTGGCAAGAGAAATTGCAACTAGGCATTTTAATATAATTTTGAAAAAAAAAGATTGTACGTCTTATTGCTTATTTTATATTATATTATATTATTATATATATATATATATATGTATGTATGTATGTATGTATGTATGTATGTATAGATATGATACACTGATTAATGCAAGATACTAGGCATAAATTTGCAAGGTTGAAATTAATACATCACGGACTTTTTTTTCTTTTCAAAATCATTTTAACAAGAAAGAATAAATTATTTTTCTTCAAATTTAGTCAGAATTATGTGAGCATTTTTATTTTTGGAACATACATAAAGTTTTACCATTTTTAAAATAAATAAATTTTGCAAATATTATACAAAGTAGAGTTTTAATTAATTTTGACTTTTATTTTTATGGATATAATTATTGATCTAATTTAAATTTTATATAATCTAAAATAACAAGAAATTGCATAGGTCTGTGCAAGGAAGTGACATGTTATTTGAGTAAATGGTAAGAAAGTTTTAGGTAAATTCAATATATTATGTTATCCATAGTCCATTTAATAAAAATGTATTAATTTAATCAAATAAAATACATGTCATTATTTTTAATAACTTTATTCTTATAAAAAATGCTTATTTAATGTCTTACCTTTTGTTTCTAAATTATCATTAATAAAAGAATCAATTTTCATTTAATGTTATTTGAATATTATATTTTTATTGATAATATATTAAGATTTACCTAAAAATTTTTCATAAGTGATTGGGAGTTCGAGTCTCAATCTTTATATAAGTTTTTATATCATTGGAAGATATCTACCTATTATTTATTACTCTCAATACCTTGAGAGAATTTTTTTGCTTGGATAAAACCTACTCATACTTTTTTTTAACTAAAAAAACAATTATGTTAGCAAATAAAAAAGAAAACAACAAGATAAAAAAACCTCACTCATACTTATCAAAATGAAAAGGGGTGAAGTGGTCCTTCGAAATTGTTAACTTAATAATAATAATAATAATTTAACTCACAATTTTGATTCGTCAAGCAGCAGAACTCATAAGAAGATGAAGCTGTATTCTTAGTCACTCATGTCTGACACAATCACTTCAATTTATTAGTAAAGTTAAAATATATATTTAATTTTTTAATTTTATATAATATTTTATTTTAATCTTTTAATTTTATGAAACATGTTTTTTGTTTTTTAACTCTAATATTATTAATTTTATTTTAATAAATTTTTACATTAAAATTTTAAATATTCATAAAATATTTAAAATTAATAATATTATGGATAAAAATTAAAAATATATTTTATAAAATTAAATTATTAAATTAAAACTTTATATAAAGTTAAAAGATTAAAAGTATATTTTAATTTATTGTTAATTGTTATTAATTATTATTATTAATCATATTTATTTCTTGTAGATGTTAGAGCATACACCACATTGTTCAATGTTCATGGGTTCAACTCCAACAATACAACTTTTTATTTTTTTAAAAAAAAATATGTTTTTTTTAAAGAAATTATTATCTGAAAAAAAGTTTAACTTGTGAGAGAGAAAAAAAGAGAAAAAATTTCTCAAAATTAGGTTCGGTATCATTTGCCTTCATTATCGTATCTACATAAGCAAATTACAGGATTCTCATATTTTGTAATCTTATTAATTAACAGCAGAAAAAACTAAAGAGAGTATAAAAGCAGGCGTAGGCAATAGATTCAGCGTGGTGGAAACGAGTCAAAATCCATGAGGAGAAACTTTTAGGGGAGGCAAATCCTCTTTACCAAACCATCACCACCACAGTTTCATCCCATTATTCTTCTCTCCGATTTCTCCATTTTTCTCTCTTTTACTTTTTCTGAAGTCAAAATTTTCTCTGCTCAATTCCACTACTAGAGGAAATTTTCCCCTCTAGCATTGATCCCGTTTCATTTCCCTCATCTCTCACCCTTTTATGTGCATGTATGTCTGTGTCTCTGAACCTTCCTGCCTGAGATTGTAGATCTTGGTGTCGGTGGTGGGCGATCGGAGTTCATGTCTCCCTCGAATGGTTTGCAGAACCGAGAGGCCGTTGGTGGTGGGCTCAATTATATAGAGCACCGGGTTTCCAAATTTGACACTCTTGCCGGTGTGGCCATCAAGTATGGCGTTGAGGTACTATTGCTCGTTTCCAAATTTAGTGGGCATTTTCCTTGTGATTTTGAAGAGTCTTGTAAATTTTCCGGATTTTTATTGATGATTTGTGTACTGGTAATTGCTCCCCAAAGCATGCAACTTGTGCAGTGCTATGTTCGTTGACGACGAAGATAAAGATATTATGCTCAATTTGCTAAACTTCTTAAAGTCGATCTGGTTTTTTTGGAAGGATGGTGATTAATTGGTATTTTCATGACTAAGCTGATATAATGAAACACTTGGATTATTGTCCAAAAAAAAAAAAAGGAAAGAATAATATGAAACGATTCAATTAGCAATTTCGCATCGATTATGCGCATGTTGTAAAATTTCTCAAAGTGGTCTGATTTTTCCTTTTTTTCAGGGAAGGGGGATGGTTAATTAATATTTGCATGACTAAGCTGCAGTGAAAGAGTCACTTGAAACGATTCAATTAGCGATTTGTCTTTTTGTTCTTCGTTTTACACTTCTCTGATATGTTAGCTAATTAGTGGAATTAAAGGGTTTGGAGAACTGGATAATAAGAAAGGGAACAAAAGAGGACTTAATGTGGAAAAGGGAGGAAAAAGAATCTATTCTGTTAAATTCACTCTCAAATATCATTTTGTTCTTTGAAATGGTCATATTTTTATGCTTTGAACTGGATGAATGGATTATTGATTGCTTAAGTATTAATCTATAATAGTTCATAAAAAATTTCTTGTAACGGTTTAGGTAGCTGACATTAAAAGGATGAATGGGCTAGCCACGGATCTTCAAATGTTTGCAATGAAGGTATTGCGGATTCCATTACCAGGACGACATCTGCCATCATCTAGTCAACCTAATGGATCTGCCAAGTTCGGGTGCAAATATGCTTTTATTTCTTAGATCTTGCAATAATTAAAATCCTCTTTTCTTTAGTGCTTTTGCATGTAAACATGGATTTTTTTTTTTTAAATGCCAATTCATTGGCATGTTATGTAGTCGAACAATCTACTTCTTTTAGAGTTTGAAGGCATGATATGTTTCCTTTTTATTCGATTGTGTTGAATTTCTTACACATGTTTCAAGAAAAATTTGTAAATGTAAAATTTTCAGCTCCACAGTTCATTGATCATATGATTCACCATTCACTTCACAACAAAGCAAAGATTTCCCTTGCTGGACCATACAAGTGCCTGAACTATTTCCTAGAAGCCAAAAGTTGATGTTGCCAGAGCTCCATCTTGCTGTCTGTATGATTTTCGTTTCACAGCCAAGATAGTGTTGCTCTTATATATTCTAATGTCACTTCTTGGGAACTTTTTAGCCTTTGTGTCAGCTTGCATTCTTTTTTGGACTCCACTTATTGTCTATTGGTTTTGTTCTGGAGCCTATTGGATGCTTCATTGCTTTAATATGCTGTAACTTTGTCATTTAATTGAATGCTACTATTTGAAATTTTGTTGACTTATTTGAACTTAATATGCTTTTCTGGAAACTTTCTTCCTTTTTGAATAAATGAGTTCAATTAGCTTGACGTGGTAAGTATATTACTTAAAGGTTACTTCGTTTCTTTATTACTTAACTTCACTGACCAGTCAACTTAATTTGAAAACTTCAAGGAATATAAAAAACTCATTTTTACTAATTTTGCAGGGATGATCGCCCAGACAGGAGACCTCCTCATATAGGTCAATCGGGTATGCAGGAAGCTTTCCAGTCTCTGAGACTGAAAGCTCCCCGACAGAGCATGTCACCAACAATGACCACCTTACAGCAATATTATGGGCTCAAATCTTTAAATCCCAGGGGTACATCTGAAGGAACAGAAATGGCAGTATATTCATCTACTGGTTCAAATTATTTCAGAGAGGATTGGCTTCCCAAAGCCTCGCCAATGTCAGATATGCCACCTGGTTTACTCACTGGGAACAGTGCAGTGCCTGAGTATGTACCTCTTGTAGAAATTGGGGATGGAGGAGGTGATAAGTCAGATGAGAAATCTGTCCGCAGACGACAGAAACCTGAAGTTGATAGTGGAGCTGGTACCCCGGAAAAGCTATGGAAAGAAGAAAACACTGGTGGGACCAGTGGTTTCTCTCCTTCAACAGGGAAAGGCTTAGCCATGAGGCCAAAATCAGCTAGCCGAAATCTGCTACATTCTGAGTCAGAGTCAGGATCCTTAGATTCAATTCCAATAGGGCTGGGAGAATCTATAATGATTGATGGACTTTCTACTGTGCATAAATCTTCAAGTACATCAAGCTTTAAGGAGCAGGAAAAGAATAACTCAGCAACAGTCTGGCCAACTGGATGGAGTTTGAAAACAGACTTGCAAGCTCTTTCAACTGCATCTATCGCCAAACCTATCTTTGATGGCTTACCTATACCGATAACTGGTCGCAGGAGCAAAGCTGCCCTTGATTAGGGTAATCCATTCCCATTCTTTGAGCCAATTTATTTTTTGACACTACATAAAGGTAAGGGGGAAAAAAACTACAAGATGTATTCCTTCTGTTGATCAAGCTTGAAGAGAGAAAAGAAAAAAAAAAATCAAAATACAGG